CTCTCTCTCTCTCTCTCCTCCTCTCTCTCTCTCTCTCTCTCTCTCTCTCTCTCTCTCTCATATACACGCACACACACACAAAGGAAAAAAAAAAGGAAAAGATCATGACATGAGTAGTTAATCTGCTTGTTGCTTCCCTGAACTATTCCTGATTTCACCCCTAGTTGATAGGATTTTCTGTGTAACAATAATGTCTTGTTTCTACAGAGGCTTGCCGCAGGGGATGATCCTTTGACTGCATTTGTCCTTTCTTCTGAAGCAGCAATAACTGGTGCAGAATCTACCAAAAATATGCAGGCTCAGGTACCAACTTCCTTTTCCAAAACTGTAGGGGGGGGGGACGAGATAAGAGGGGTTTCCCTTCAACTTCTTCAGTATTACCATTTTGCTTTCAAGCTTCTCCAATCCCTGAACAGCACCAACAAATACACCTGCCCATCTTTCTTTCGATCGACCAATTTTTTGGAAGTTCAAAATTTAGGCAGGCATAGAAACCAGCTTTTGGTATTCAAATTACATAAAATTTTGGGTTATTTCATATTCCTTGTACAAATTCATTGAAAACAGAGATTATTTTCCTGTCGAAGTTGAGGCAATTCTTTGGCCTCAGGGGGAGAGAGGTTACTTTCCGTATGAAATTGATACAAATAATTCCAATTTATTTACTGGCTTAACAATATATGCAAGTGTCTTTCAAAAACTACGCCACATCAGTATCTTATTTACCTGTTTGGTTGATCACTTATGTATGTTATTACATTTAGCCAATATCCTCGATCGCCAACATTCTTATCAATGTTGTTCGTGCTAGGCCGGACGCTCAACCTACATCACTGGCGATGTACTATCTACTGTGCCAGACCCTGGAGCCATGGCTGCCGCAGCATGGTACAGAGCAGCTGCACTCGCCTTGCAGAACTGCCTCCAAAAGCCATGAGAGAGAGAGAGAGAGAGAGAGAGAGAGAGAGAATACGGACATGAGCTAGAGAGATTTAATTTCTGAGTTCTCCGTTTTTGTTTACAATATGGCAAAATTTTGATGAAACGTGAACACGCATTGGTTTTCCGCTTCTGCTATGTGAATGCATGAGCTTAGAAAGCGAGTTTCTGCGGGTTCATTCATCTGTGTTAGTGGACTGTGATACATATTTTGTAGAGAGACTGAGAAAGGGTTGAAATTTCATCTTGAAAATGGAATATAGTGAACGCCAAACACTTCTTTTCGTGTGCTACAGTTTGGCCATGAAAAAAGTTTCTTACATATTATATGATGTACTTAGTGCTATCTAGGTTATTTTTGTGGGAAAAGGATTGTATACAATGAAACTGTGTACTTTCGATACAAGGTCACAATTACTTATAATCATTTAATGTGAAATCTGATAGTTTGGATGTGTTACAAAGTTCGAAATTTTGTTTTTTGAAGTTTGATTTTAGTCAATGGAATAAATGCAACCAATCCAATTTCACATCTAATGGTCAAGATTAATTGTGATCACTTTGTAACAATTTGGTTGATCACTTACTTGTTTAGTTTTATACTTTCAATATGGGACCACAAGTTTCTTACCTCCTTTTCAAATAATTCTACATATTGAGAGGTCTTTGGCATCTTAAAGTCATTCTTATTTTCTTGGGTGTATCTCTTCCATGCACGTTTTAACATATATTGCTCGTATTAGAGCTCTTAGTGAGTACAAAATGGAGCAAGAGCCTAAAGCTTTCAAGATATTGTGGTGGTGACTGTTGCGAATAGATTATACGCTTCCGCCAGAGAATATTGTCTGTTCACTCGCCGTAATTTTTCAAGGGGTCAAGGATTTGGAAATTCAAAATCTAAGTTTCTTGAAAATACTTTTCATTCTGAAATAGAGACCAAATTTCGAGATGAGAAAATAAATAGGGATTGTCTACACGTGGACTATTTATCTTTATTACAAGGTCAACTATTCCTAAATTGGATGCTACAGCCTCACTTCAAATACTTCTCCAAAAAGCACTTTTGGCAATAGAAATTTCCATGATGGATTTAAACTCAATTTCCAGCACTGACAATAAGATTTGAAACTTAAAAAGCACAAGAGATTTTTGAACACTTATGTTTGAGGTGAAATGGGCGGTCTAGATAATTTGTTACAATATACATCATTTTCAGAGCTTAACATCCTATATTTTTTCACAACTATAATGTTCACGCCGAGATGATCGATGTAAAGGCTTTGCAATGCTTGAACTGTAATTTTTGACAAGTTATAAGGTGAGACTTTATTTATTTTGATAGGGCTGCAACCCTATCAAGCCATTTTCCTTTTAGAAATGGACACTAAAATGCTACGATATGTGGTGGTTTTCTTGGTTGTTAATTTGTAGAAGGGGAAGTGAGCCAACTATTTCAAATAAAGAGTTCGAGAGTAACTTTAAATTTAAATCGGTTGAAGAACGAAGTAAAGAACTGTAACCTTGTCAAAAAAAGCAAATAAAAATGCTCTCAACCTTTCGATTTAGAATATCGATTACATTCTCACCCCTCTCAACCTTTTGATTTAGAATATCAATTACATTCTCACCCCTCTTCATTAGGCCAAAAAGATATTCTGCACGTATGGGAGTGGAATGTCCATTTGCTCCTTTGCTAGAATTAATTTTAGGATGTCAAATTTTGTAGATGTAACCCCTTCAGCCCACAAATTAATCTCAATAAATTTTTTTTTTAATATTTGTACCGTAAGGACTCCAATTTTTTGGATTTAGATACTCACTGCAATAGAGACTAGGACACTCACGGTAGTAGAGAGAAGGAAGCACACACCCGGTGCTAAGGGATAAGGCTAACGCCACGTGCGTAAGGATATCACCGCGAATGAAAAAGAGGTAGCACCATGCGTGAATGGAGGCATCACCATGAGCGTGAGGGGAGCATCGCCGTGCGCGTGAATAGGAAGAAGCATCGTGCGTGAACGAGAGGGAATTGCCGTGCGCATAAGAGTATCGCCACGTGTGGACATGAGTAGCGCCATTTGCGCATCACCGCGCGTGCAAGACGCAACGTTGCATGCGAACTGGACGCCACGCGTGAATTTAAGGGCTATCGCTACGAGAGTAAGAAGAAAGGATGCGCGCAAAAGAGGAGTCACGCCGTGCGCAAAGAGTGGCCAGCACCGTGCATGTACCACCATGAGTGTTGTGAATGGACCACCGGGACTGTTGGAGTAGGGTAGTCCATGAGGGACTACCTCTTTTTCTTTCCCCACTCCAAATGTCACTCTTTTGCTTACCACTTGAAGGTGGATTGTTGCCACCTCACCCCTTTTGCTTGCCACTTGGAGGTGGCTTATTGCCACCTCATTTCCCCTTCTCTCACTACCCATTCAACTGCCCCATCTCTTATCCTCCAGCTCTCTCTTTATCCCCCACGTTTACTCCCTTTGAACGCTTAGAGATTCCAGCCCTTTGTGCCGATTGTTGAGAGACTTGAAGAGTGAGCTGTACGAATGACTTGGGACCACCATTGAAGCATTAGGTAAGTAGACTATTATGTGTTCATAGTATGAAGTATGATTCTTATGTATGAAAGTATGAGATTTAAGTATGTATTTCTATGAATTTAACATGAATAAAGTGTAATTTAAGCATGGATTAGGCTTGAAGTTAAGCATGTATGTTGTATTCTATTTTTCTAGAAATTAGGTTTTCTTTGTATGATAAGTTGGGCACTGTTATCACTATTGTGGATCCTAAAATTCTTTGAAAAGATGTTTGTGTGAGTCTAGTTTAAGATAGAAAAAGTTTCATATTGTTATCTTGTATGGATTTGGAGTTGCGGGATAATCTTTGGAATGTGTCATGTTTGTACTGTGATTTTCCTGCAAATTTACATGCTTTTGTGATGAGATTTTGACTAAGCAAATGATGTTCAATTGGCCTCAAATCACCACCATTTGAAAATTCTATGATTCTACTTTGAGGGTGTTTATGACTAGCTGAAATCGTTGATAGTTTAGAAGATATGGCTCGTTTTATGCATGTATGTCATTGTTAGCAGATTGTAATAATTTTCAAGAATGTTATTTCTATTATACTAGGAGTTTGACTAAACTATTGAAGTCCAAATGATACAAAGCCACCACTATTGGAAAGATTTCTGAGTCTATTTTAATAGTCATGTTCACATCTTGCTCTGATTCTTTATTTATATAAATTTATACTTCGAAACATGCCAGTAGATCACTGTGGACAGTTTTGGTAAAAACATAGTACCGATGTCTTTGATGTCAAGGGTTTTGACCAATCAAATGAGGTCTGTTTTCTTCCAAACCACTGCCGTTTAAAATATTTTTGAGTAAGATTGAGATCACATGTTTAGCACTTTTCGAAATTCTCCTTAATTTGAGAGTTATATGATTAATTGTAACAATATGTCACTGTGGACAGCTTTTATAAAACTCAGAATTTATGCCTATGTCGCTATAGATTTTGACTAACCAAAATTGATCCATTTTCTTCCAAACTACTGTCATTTGAACGGTTCATGAGTAAACTTAAATTCACATGTTGAGCAGTTTTTTGGAATTTCTTCTTGATTCTAAGTTATGGAGTAAATTTTAAAGACGTGCCATTTCCTTCACTGCACAGTAGATTTCAGATGAAATATCTCCATTCTTTTGAACTTTTGAGGGGCCAAGCAAGGTCGAATTGTTTTCAAACCTCCCCATTTGAATGATAAGTGTGTCTAGTATAAAATTGGTTTCAAATTCCAAACGAATCAAAAGTTATGACCCTATTTACGACTAGATATCACGGCTTGAAATTGCAGCTGTAATACTCATTATGTGATATTGACACCGTTATTCTGTGAATCTAATACTGTTATTCTGTGATATGGACACTGTTATTCTGTGATTCTGATTTTGTCAAAATGTGATACTGATACAGGCATTCTATGAGACTGATACTGTCATTCCGTGATATTGACATTATCATTCTGTAATACTGATACTGTTTTTATGTGATATTAACACGGCCATTATGTGACACTGATACTGTCTGATTCTATTTTATGAATACTGTGATATGTGCCATGAACGCTATGTAATGGGTCTTCCATTGGTAGTGGACAATGTGATTATGTTATTTTTGGCATTGATCGCTACGCAATGGGTCTTCTATTGATAGTGAGTATTCTGACTCTGTTATTTGAAAAAAATTGATATCTGTAATATGACCACCGTGTAATAGGTCTTCCATTGGTAGTGGGGTATACTGTACCAAAATATGTGACTTCTGAGTGCGCATGAGGTGATATGTAACTGTTGGTATACTGTGATTGTGTGAGCATATGTGATATTGACAACTACGCAATGAGTCACCCATTGTTAGTTGGATACTATTATATTGTGACTGTTATGTGATTACTTGACATGCTTTGAGCGTATCGCATGGCCATGACTGACACCAATGAGGTTCGCACGAGGTGCTATGTGACGTCCCAGCAATGCCTTATGCAAATCGCATCGCCCGATATGGGTAGTCGCCTGAGTTATGTAATTGACTTGAGATGTATGATTGACCTGAGTAATCAAATTGACTTGAGATATACGATTTTCGACTTGCGAGATATGGGAGTGGCATGCTGCATAGGGCTAGAGAGTGTGTTGTGTCTGTTGATTTTGTTGTGCTCTCTTGTTTGTATGAATCTGTTGAAATCTGATAGATTGCTAGTGTATATGATATCTGACATCTTACGTTGTGCCTGCTCTACCATGAAAAGCACCATCCTATAATTGTGATATAATTGTGATGCATGACTCCTGTTTTATGAGCATGACTTATAACCTTGATCTGTGTTGTGGGATAATATTCATAGGCAGGGAAGCATGATACTGTGATGCACTTACTGTGCTTTTTAGCTCATTCATTTGCTTCCACCCTTGTAGATCGACGGATGTAGGTCGAAGACAGGTGGGTGGTGATCATGTTTGGTGGACTGAAGACCCGCGCTAGACTAGAAGATCTCCTTGTTTTTGTGGGTGTCAGCTGGCCATCAGCCGTACTGTGTTGTTTGTGAAGCTTTGTAGTTTTGTTAATAGGCTTTGGTGCCTTGGACGCATTGTAATATTCTGGATATTGTTTATGGCCTTGGAGACTGTATATGGATAGAAATGGTTTTAATTTATCCAGCTTTTATATTGTCTCTGGTGGGTGTTTTGCTTTATTTCTCATGGTTTGCTTTGATTCCGCATTTATAACACGTGTTGATGTCACTCCCACCTCAGTGACGTACGTGTCCTCCGGTCGCGATCCCGCACTCTGTCGCCCTCCAATTTGGGACGGCAAGGGTCAGGGAGCGGGTCGTGACATGTACCATTTATTCACTTGAAAAAAAAATGTTTTGAGATTGAATAGAGAATATCCAATTTTTAGATGGTGAGATCCAAGTGTTCGAAAGCTCAAATTTCAAAATTTCCTTCTTTCCTTCTTTCATTTTTTGTATTTTGTATTTTTTATTTTAGAATAGTCATCTGGTAATTCTTAAGTAGTCCCAAAATTTAATTTTTAAAAAAAAAAATCTCTGAATTAGCGCTTCGGACTGAGGGATTAGATGTAACCTATGCCCTAATAGAATTTGCTATGATATGACTACTAAAATTGTTGTCAATTTCAAGTTGCATAATCTACTATGTTCTATTAACATCAGCCAAGGCTATGTGAGAGAGAGAGAGAGGGAGAGAGGGGAGGGTGGAGGAGAGAGAAGGTAGGTGTGCAACTTTCAGTTCAATTTGAGAAAGATTGTGGGTCTGCAAACTTCTAGTTCACGGACATTTTATGGCTATAAAAAACTACTAACTTTCTAGTTAAGTAGCTAACCAAGGGACCCGCCAATCATAGGATATGCAATACTCGATGATGCAGGGTGACACACAAAAACTGGTTTTGGCTCTAGAATATGCACCGTTAATATAATTATGAGATACAAATTGCATTGAGACATGAGATTTTTTAGCGCGATCTATACTGTCAAATTCAGATGTCAAGACACACACAATAACATTGTACCACCTTTTAACTCATTAAACGTTTTTTTCATAAAATAGTGGGTGTGCATTGTATTCCGTTTGACAACTTGGAGATATGTGATCATGGGAGCCATAACCATCCATCAGTTTGTTGGAGGGTGATGGGTACAACGCGGACTCGCCTATGCACGAGATGATTTTGATGATAGGTCTGCTATCTTGCTCCATTGCCTTTCAACCATTTAATATATGGTGATGATCCTTGTGACCATTTACTCCATGTGATCATGAGGGTTACAATATGGTGATGATCCTTGTGACCATTTACTCCATGTTATAATGAGGATTACGATATATTTTGCTAAGGAGTCTAGTCCATGTTTTGGTATATTATGCTCTTACAAGAGCATAGAGTACATCTACTCCCTTGGTTAGAAAACCCACTTGGGAGAAATTTTTTAATATGAAATTTTAGGAACCACTTAAGAATTAGTAAACAATTATTTTCAAAAGAAAAATTGAATTTTTAGTTTTTCAATACTTAATCTAACCCTCCAAAAATTGGAGGGCCCTTGTTCAATATTGATACATTAGTTTTAGGAGAAAATTACAATGAAAACCATTTATAATTGTACATGGACGTCACAATCAATCTTGACCATTAAGTGCGATGTTGGGTGACTATATTTATTCTATTGACTAAGATCAAATTTCAAAAGAACTTTTTTTTAACTTTATGATACTCAAGCTTTCGGATTTCATATCGGATAGTTATACAGTCAGTTGTAACCTCCTACACCAAAGGAAAATGATCTCATAGTATATAATCCTTCTTTTTTTTTTAAGTATGTAGAAAGTATAATTTGGAAAACAAAATTGAATTGAGATTAGTCCATAGGTTGAGGAGATTACATCTCCAAAATCTTAGATCCTAGAGTTAATACCGGATTTACACGAGGGAGTAATGTACAGTATACTCCCACAGAAGTACCAGATCGTTTGTTTGGCTTCAGTTTCTCCGAGAGGCCGTAACTGACTGACAGGAATATTTTAGATATTCAAACAAATAGAAAAGGGTATGCACGTCATTCTCCAGCTATAAATACCTGGTTCTTCGAAATAGAATCAATCTTCATTTTTCCCTCCATTTTTTATCTTTTCTCGCTTTCTTCGTCTTCTAAATTTAGCGGAAGAGTTGCAGAATTAGGGTTAGGGCATTCAAATTGCAACAATCTCCATCAATTTACCTGATCATTTAGGATTCCTCTAAATTTAGAGGAAGAATTCCAGAGACGGTTTCATAATTAAAGAATCTTCCTCCATTTCTCCAATGCGCCTCATCATAAAAAATTAGCGATGAATTGACGGATCATAGATTTCAAAATAGAAGAACCATCATCGAAAATTAGCAATGAATTGATGGATCATAGATTTCCAAATATTAGAACGTTGATTCAAATTAGCAATGAATTGATGGATCATAGGTTTCCAAATATTAGAAGGTTGATTCACTTTTCCAATCTATGATATATTTAGTGGTGAATTGATGAATTACAGCTTTCAAAATGGATAACACTTCCTCCATTTATGCAATCTCAACATCAACAAAGATTAACGTGTAGTTGATAGATTCAGGCTTTCAAAATAGAAGATTCTTCCTTTACTTTTCAATCTGACCGATCGGGTAAATTTAACGGAGAAATTGATGGATCTGGGCTTTCAGAATGTGAGATGCTTCCTCCATTTATCCGCTTCATCGAAATTTAGAGATGAAGTTGAAGATTAGGGCTTTCAAAATGGGAGAGTCGCTTTCTGTTTGTCCGATTGGCTTTATTTCTTCTCAGCTTCGAAATCAGACTGTGGAGTTCCTCTTACACTCTGCAATGGTGAGTTTGTCTCAATTTTCTTTTCATCTTTCGTCCATGGTGAGTGATAAATAAACTGATGTTTACTCTATATTTTGTTTTGTCAAGCAACTCAAAAGGTGCCCACTCGTTAAATACACTGCATTATCCTTTCTGGTTGACCGTTTTCTGCTATCCTTTCAACTGTATGTAAACCCTAAACTTCTCTTGAATTTAGTCTGTTGAATGCTGGTTCAGAGACTTATCCATGCATTTTGTCTCATCTCCGCTCGCTGCACGGAGATCCTATTTCTCGATAGACCTTATTGACATGATTATTTTGAGCCTTTGTTGTTCATTCTGGCTGAATGGCTTAGGTATTTTATTGTCTGAGAAATTACTATTTGCAGAAGTATTTTTCTCATAATTAATTAAAAATTCCATTGATAAAGCAACAGGTAAAACAATGAACAGTGACGATAACCAAGGAGAATTCTGAAGGGTTTTTAGTGTTTGTATGTAGCTTGGAATTGCTGTTTACATTTTGCATGAATTCATTATAATTCAGTATTGCCAGGAATTTTGGCCAAACAGGGATCGAATGGTTCTTGTATCTATGGCATCACGGTCAGGTTCCGCCAAATTCAATGGCACTTTGGCTTCTAGTATGAGTGGCCCCATATTGGACAGGCCATTTAAAACAGACTAGGGGCTGTGTTTTTTCCTCTCCCCATCTAGGAGGAAAAAAGTAGCTCAGCTTGGTCCACTAAACCATTCACGGGTGGACCCGTTTTGCTCCCCTACAAAACACTTACAAAATGCCCCATCTATGCAAAAATGGGTAACAAACTTGTTTTAATAAATTTCTAGATAACTCCCTTGCGTAGTGGAGTTTTTGGGCCATCCAAATGGGGCTTTAGCTTCTATCACACCACACTTGTGTGGCTAGTGGCTAAAGGCTAATGACTGTGTCAATCTCATGCCAAATGAATTACAACACCCACTTCTGTTGTGGCTCCTGAAGGACTTGCTATTAAATTGATAGCTAATCGACCACTAGGAAGACTTCTTCACACTTCTGTGACTCTTAACTGGGGAACGACATTGATTACAATGGACTGCCATTCTCTCACCAAATACTCCGATTGGAATCTTTTGTACTCTCCAGTCTTCTTTTTTATTTATGACATACATTCAATAAAGGGAAAAGCTACGAAACTGCATGACAGAAAATTATGGTGTCTTGCAATCGCAGAACTCAACTTCAATAATGGGAACCCCTAACTTTGGTGAATATCTGCCAAGATTACTTCGACTTTTACACATGATACATCTGTTGAGAACAAGCTAAGTTCTCAAAAGATCAGAGAAAAAATGCCCTTCAGCTTCAAGGAGCATGCTGGCTTTTTGGAACCTTTTTATTCGTCCAAATAATTTCCTTTAACTCTCAGGGGAAACAAGTGGAAGTCCATAGTGCTTCTAAACCTATGTAGTCAATACTCAATAATGATTGAGCTTTGAACCATGCTGACTTTGTGAAGCCTATGGGGGAATAGAAGTGCAGGACAATGTACCCATCAGAATCTGGAAATAGAATTGAAGGTACTTTGGTGTATAACTGTTTCTTGCTTAAATTTCTAAAGTAACATCAGAACAACCATCAGGAAAGTATTCTATCATTTTCCTTTATAGTTGTTTTCTTGGTTAAATTTGTAGTGGCCTTTGTCCACAGTCATCCAATTTTTTAAAAGTATCTCACTTTGATGCATCCATGAGGAGTAGTATGATGACCTAACCAATGACCAGCCCTTTGATCTGCTCCAGAAGCCCTTAGTTGTTGCGTTTTTTTTAGTTATAAAATTCACGTTGATCTTTTGCTTCTATGTTTCCCAGAGCACTGTTAGAGGGTAGCCATCCATGGTAGCAAACCTCTAGTATTCCCTCAGTGCCACCTTCCACTGTGTAATAGGCTTGGGTAACGAGTCAACTAGAGCCCATGAGATCCCAAATAGGACTGCTATCTCCTCCCATATGTTTCTTGAATTCGTGTAAATGCATTGTAGAAGAAGATAAAACAATGTGATAGCAAAAAAGCAATAAGATTCATCTCAATACTCTCATCCTCCTCTTGGTACTGCTTTAGAACTATTTAAGATACAGAATCTGTTGTGGCATTTTTTCTTTCTAGATTTGGTAAATGATATAGAACGGCATTTTTGGGGAGCCACATGTGCTGGATTTTGTTTGGGAGAGGCTTCTTGTCTTCATTGCGATAAATGATCAACAAATTCAAAGGAGCAAGTGTTATATTTTTCCCACCATATTGCAGTTGTCAGGGATTTACAAATACCTTCTTAACTCCTGACAATTCACAGAATCTTTTTGCAAATGACTGAAATATCGCAGTTTCTCATGACCAAATATTAAATCATCAACGACTGATTTAATATTTGGTTAGAGCACCTATATTTTGATCATTTGCAACCATACACCTACTGATAAGTGGGGGTTGTATTGTGTTTATTGGGCCAACATGAAGACCTCCTCTCCAATCCTCAAATAGACTCCCAAATGTCACCCTCTAACCAATCAAAAAAATCACACACCTGCTGATAAGAAGGATAAAAAATCACACACCTACTGATAAGAAGGATATTTTGGTCCTTCATAAGGAGGTTTCCAGAAAACTTTAAAATTCAGATAAACCACTGCAAAGGAATACTCTGAACACTTCAAAGAGAAACAGCTAGAACACCCGAAAATTTTCTGTATACTGCATACCTCCTGATCTTCAGATGGTGACTGTTGTGTTCTCTGTTCAAAATGCATCTAGAAGTGACTTTGTTTATTTTCTTTTGAACCTCGCATGCAAAGCAACAGTTTCGCAAGTTTGCTTTTCCATAATTTCTTCAGAACTGTACATTGATATAAACATGTTGTGTAACCTTCCTTGTTCCATTGGTTGACCAGAAACTCTCATTTTTTCCTTGCAGAGGAAAGATCAGGTTTCCATGTGAAACTACTGTCGGACATTGGCTTTTGCGCCCCTTGAATGAGAGCAATTTACAGCTTTTCGCACTTATTTCACTATGGATATCAAGCAAGGTATGATAGCTATTATTTTTTAACAATTTGGTAGTCTCCTAGGTACTGCTACTCACACCACATGACTTGCAACCGTGAACTACGAATAGCATGCATTATGGGCACTGGACACGGTTCTATTTTGGGTTTATGCGTCTAGATGGTTTTCTCTTCATTAGACCAGAGAGTTCTGGATATCATGATTGATTTTATGGAAATTTTAATATTCCACATTGAAAATTAAATCCGTTTGACCCTACAGTTTAGATGGTAATGGTCTGAATCATCTGATGGTATCCTTGTAAACCCTAACAAAGTCTTAAATACCCCAACAGTCCTTGACAGGCTCTATCCCGTCCAGAATGGTTTTACTGAAATTTCCCATTATTTAGAAACAGAACACGGTTTTGCATATTAAAACTGTAGTAGGATGTTATGCACCCATTGATGTCAGAATATTTGAAAAAGGCAATAATGTTCTCCGTGACAACTGTTGAATAGCATGAAATACTCGACATTGAAAAAGAAGAAATAGAATGCATCATTATGGTGTAGATGAGGGAATGTAGCCCCTTGCAAAAATATTTCACTTTAGCTATATAAAAACGTGTTTCCCAGTTTGCCTTGGTAGTGAAGGAGACTGTCAGGACGTGCTCTTTATGTATTTGAATACGATGACTTCTAGAATATTCTACTTTATGAACTATTAGGAGAAAAACAAAGTCGATTTTCTGATCATTTGTCTTTCTTGCAGGGTCATGGTGTTGAATTGGAGCATTGACCAGAAACACCTAGATTAGCATCATTTTCTGTTAGAAAATTTATAGCAATATCAAAATGGTTTGTCGATACATGGAAATGATTTACAGCTTATGGAATCACTACTTTTACACAAAAATCCATTAATGTTTTAGGCAAGTTCTTCTTTTAAATGTAAAAAATACTCGAAATTTTTGGAACTCTTCAACATTCAGAGGATTTAATTGATGTTGATTAGAAATGGATATGCATTCATAGTACATTCAGTGATTGATAGTACTTTTTCAATGTGGATGGACCACCTATATCAACACATTGTACAGTTTCCTTTCTAGAACATCTGAACTGTAGGTCCATCTGCAATGAATACTGCATCCATGATGGAAAACAATATTCATCTAGAACATCTGGACTCTCCAAGTTGGCTATCTGCTTTGAAATTTGTAGTTGTCAGCACTGGTATTGAACAGAATATGAAAATTAGGAAAAATTACAGAGAAACTATTCAAGACCTGTGTGTTGAAAACAAGAGGGCAGGTGATCACCAAAATCTGGAGGTTTAAAGCTCTTTGTTGCAATAATAGGCACCGTATAATGCCTGTCATATTGTAACAAATATGCATGCACAACATGTGAACTATTGCCAGAAATGCCAAACAAAGGAGTGGGAGCAAGTATTATACAATTTTACATTAGGGAAACAGGTAGGAATTGCCATGGAAACACTAGTTTAGGGAGTCAAGAGTAAAACTTGGGGGCAGGGAGTGGTAGGCATGTTCATGAGACCTTTGTTCCTAAACATTAATTACTTAATTCGTGCCCACAAAATTGAGCAATTTTTTGTAATTCTTAATCATGGACAATCGCATGTTGTTTTAAGTATTGTCAATCAGTTTATGATCATTTGGTATGTTTATGCAGATGCATGACATATGTTCTTTATCGGTGAAGAGTCTGAAGTCATTGGCTGATGAGATCATTAAAGATCAGCATTATACTGTACGGGATTTCATTGAAGCTGTAAATTGCCATCCTGCTTCCTATCTAATGGGATTTATTGTCTGTTTAACAAGTGGTGTATCACTGAGTTTGTTTCCTGAGTGTAATGTGAAATATGAAGTGTCCTTGAAATGTTTAAATATGAATGTGTCCCTGACCATCTCTTTCTGATAATCCAAAAATTACTTATGAAAAGGACAAACTTGTTCCCCACCTGACAACTACAAGAAAAAAGGCAAACTTCCTTCCCACCTCTACATGGAAGGGTGGTGGCAAGTTTTTTTGTCTTCCCAGGTAGAAGCAGGATGTTGCCCTTTTCTATAACATGAACACACATGCTGCATATGTGCATGCACACACATAAACAAAACCTGGGGATTGGGTCTGGGAGAGGAAGGTGTGAAGAGGAAGACCTGGGTGGGAAGCAGCGACTTTGCTGCCACCCTACAAATTTTCGTCATCACCTTTCATGATCTAACATTATTCCCACTTCTTCTTTTTTTTGACAATTAGGCTTTGTTATATACAAGATATATCTTCCTAAATTGGACCTCACATGTGTGAAATATTGTCTGACTAAAGTTATATTTAGTCTCGGATTCTTCTTTAGTAATTATTCTTTTTATTATTTTGACAGGAGTTGGTCTTCTTGAAGGTAAATCCTGAGAAACTCTGGAGAATGTGAGAGGGTTATAACCAAACTTCAAATTAAGCAAAAGATCTGCACCATTTTCTGAAATGCCTACAGCACTTGTAATTTCTATCAGTGTTACTATTCCTTCAAGTGGTAATAGAGAACTATCTCTTTCCATAAAGGAGTTAGAGTTTGTACGAGCCTCCAAAATTATTCAGTCATATCAACATTTCTCTTTTCAATTTCATGATGTCCTGGACACTCATACATCATGAGGGTCATCTAGAGTGGTTCATGAGTCTTGAAACATGGCCCACTTAGGGACATACTTGGAAAATTCTGCTGTTTTTTGGAATTTTGGAAAAGTTGGCTGTCCCGGGCATTTGCTGTAGAAAGACCAAAAAAAATATGCATTTTCTTTTACAAAAATAAATACACGTAGCTGACTGATATTGTTCCTAAACCCATTAGAGCCAGAATGGATGCTGAAACTGGAAGGTGCTGGATCATCTTGTTGGTTTTGTACAGTTCCATACATTGATGGGTCAGCAGAATTGGATCCCTCAACTTCAACTGAGGGAATCAATTGGTTAACTCTTAAGTGGTAAAGCTTATGGTTTCAGTCTAGATTCTGGAATTATTCTTTAAAAGATAAATAATGTGCTAGACCTGCCTGCTTGCTGCTTTAGGTTATACCAAAACCTGCTGGTTGAGTTCAGTCCACATTTGTTTTTTATCTTATTTTCCTTCTATGAAGCAATAAATTAGGGCTGCTCATCTTATTAAGAACTAGAAAGGACCTTCCAATTCAATCTAGTTTGTATGCTTTATCATTGTCATCCAAGATTCTGGGCCATCGAGCTCTAATCAAGAGGTTTTTCAAATTTGGTTCAATTGACTTGCTTAGTTCAGGAGTTTCGTCTCGTTTATGCTCCTTTTGGGGAAACTGGGGCAATTGATTAGTTGGGTTCCATTATTGTTGCATTGGTTTTACAGATGCGTAAATGCACACTTTCCCTACTCATCTGGTTCTTCTGTTAGTGTTTTGCAGGTGTTAAGATTTGAGATTGGAGCAATGAATGTTACCTCTGTTTACATGGAAGAGTTTCTAAATGAATTCAGGTTACATCCCTTTTTTGGTCCAAGATGAGAGTTGCATCTGCATTGCAAATCATCACTTGTGTTTCTTTTGTTCTTTTTGGTAATGAACTATTTTCTAGTTTCATGGATTGTATAACATATATTAATATGTATATATTAAAGAATGTCATGTAAGAATCTCCTTTCGGTTTATATAGAATTTACACCAAGGTTTTCAAAATCGGTTGGCCTCTTCACTCAACAAATTTAGGCAAGTTACTGAATGCTTGATGTCTCGGCCCCTGTTTGAGGTATTTCTGCAAACAGTTTGCCTCTGGTTTGTGTATACTGAACACTATCTCTCTTCCACCTTTTGCTTCAATTTCACAAACATTTGTACCCTCATTTCTGGTTCATCAGCACCTGCTTTCACCTGATTTTGTGCTACTCCATTTGTTTTTCTCCATACATGGTTATACTCAGTGTTTCAAAAAATGTTGGCTAATGGATTTTAGGTTTCAAATGAACTTACAACCCACAATTTTGCCCCTTTAGTATTAAAAAAATGACCCAAAAATATCCTCAAGGAGCTGCATTTCCGCCCATGGGCAGCCGCCAAGGCGGGCGCCAAGGCGCATCGGGCACCCAAGGATATCCACCTAGTTTGGCCGACTAGGCCTGGGCGATGCACCCAGGCCTTCTGGACCGCCTAGGCGCTGGGCAGTCTGCTTTTAAAACTATGGTTATACTTAAGCTAAGATTGCAGCTCAGCTCTGCTATTTCAGCTAATATGTCTGGCAATATCTACGGTCCTCCATTACCTTTTTTGGCCCACTTAATAGTTTCACACTTTTAGTAGAGTCTCCTTCACCTATCAAGGCCTCCCAATCTCCCTGAAATAGTTTGGGACCAGTTAGTGTGAAGCGTACCTCAGCCTCAGAATTCCAGCTAGTGCAGAGTATGAAAAATATGGTACCCTGGCTATCATGGTGAACACCAATTCCAACCAAATTGTCAACTGCTGAGGATGCTATTTGGATGTTAATTATTGTATTCAATTTAGATTATTCTATGGTGGGTCTGTGGTTTAGATTACGGGAATAATGTTTTGAACTTATTTGTTGAAAATAAAGGAAGGAAGAAAAACATATTAAATGCAGATATAGGGCCATGCCATAATTCAGGATTGTTAGGGATGTCAGATGTACATGGTTTCATAATATTTCAATTATTGTGTTCTAACAACTCTTTGGAGGATAACAACAATAAAAACATTAAACAGTAGCAGGAGCAGTAGTAGTGGTAGCGGTTGTAATAATAGTAGTAATTATGATAATAATGATAAGAAAAGAAGAAGAAACTCTGTACTTCTTTGAGTCTTGATCTTGAAAGATTAAAATCTCATGAAAAACAAACTGAATTTTCCTGCATCTGGACACCAGGCAGGTTTATGTAATTTGTGAGGATATTTTGGCCATCTTAACCCAAAATGTGTTTTCTTGTTTCTCTACACTGACTTCTTATATATTTGCCTATTTTTCATTTTTATCTTTTCTTATTTCATAGAGAGGTAGCTAAAAAGGGGGAAGCTGTGAAATTTGATGTCTGCATGGATATATTGGATCTCCTTTATGAAACTGCGGATACATCTGTGCTCTATCACTCTCCATGCTTCCTAGCTGCTGCCACTCTGGTATGTTAATTCAAATTTTAAGAAGGTTTATTTGCTGCAAGAATATATGGGAACATATTTGAAAATCTCTATACATACACTAATTTTAGGTGTCTAGTTTATCAACATAGCAAATTGCTCTTTTGGAAATCACTTTACTAATAGCATATTAGAGAAGCTTTTGGAAAATTTCCTTAGAAGGTAACCTGCTTCAGATTTAAGTGTCAAGTTGTGTACTTTCCACCTTTCTTTGCTTCATAATTTTGTCTATGATTTGCTATGGAAAGTTGTGATAGGAATGTATATGACCGTTAGGAGTTTATGGAAATAAGTGATAAGGCTTTGTTGATATGGGTTTTTCATTAAGCCCTATGGTCTGCTACATGTGATACTGGATACTTGCTGGAGGAACCTACCTAGGTGAAATACACTACATTCTTATTTCTGAACTTTTGATATTAGATGGCTGTTTGTCTCATTTTTTACCTTATTTTGATAGCATCACACTATAACCCTTCAAGTTTACCTTATTGCCTCAGCTTGGTCCTTATTTTGAAGGGGAGCTGACTTTGCTGGACTTTTTACCTCATTACAATCCTATTGCAGTATTTGTAGGACAAACATAATAATCAATTTTTTTAGAAAGAGCAGTACTGAGATTGTGAATTTAGTGGAAACTTTAAGGTGGTCATATTTGGAACTAATAGATGGGTCTAGAGTATTAGAACATTTTCTTGGAATTGAGGCTCCTCAGCCTTGCGGTTGCGAATTTTGGAGGAGCTGCATTATGGAGTTTTTAAAGCTTAAATCTGATATAAGCTCCGGGTTTGGGGTCTCATGTGGCCTCTATAGGAGTTGAAATTAGAGCAAAAGTTATTTATTAGATCAAGTGGAACACTGGGTTCCGTGGAGATACATGCCAAGACCCTCCTTATTGGGTGAGAAGCTTCCTTACTTCATTTCCCCCCTTTTATGATGGAAGTGGACCTATGTGTACGTGATTTATTGTCTGAGTAGTGTAGCTCCTGGCCTGTGGAATTAGCAGGCATATTTTTTGAGGGGTTGTAGAGTTCTTCAATCTCGTGAGTTCTTTGACATTTTACATGGAGAAGCAAATTTGATTCTGATGTCTTCTGCCTGTTCTAAGGCTTTCCATGTTGGATTTAGGTGTTTGGGACTCTTTTCTAATATGGTCATCAGCTTTGATGATTTATTTTATCTTTTTGTAATGTACCCCTTGTATTCTGTTTGAAACCATAAAAATAAAGCACTTCACTTACTGAATCAATTGGGTGGAGGCATATCAGTGAAGTTCTTTAAGTGCATGAAACCCTTTAATGTATATGCAAATAAAAGTTGCCTATTATGCTTGACAGTTATGCCCATGTTTTTCCAAAACTGCTCTTTTTTTCTGCAGATTCGTATGCCTTAATTCATTGCAAAAATATTGTTTCCCAAGCCACTTCATGTCACTTATGACCAAGAGCTAGCTGCCACTGTGGGTTGCATTTATTATTTCTATCATTTGTCTTAGGCAAGATTTATTTGCCGCAGGTAGTTGCTTATGTTCTCAGTGTCCCGAATCAGAAGTCAGAATTTCCTATGCTATCTTGGGGTTAGATCTTAAGCCATCAATCTTTTCCATTCCTTTCTTGGTATATCCTTGCGAATTTTGTTTACTAATCTTTTGGTCCTCAATACTTAAGAGAAGAAAACTGAAATTAGAAATATCATGGATCATGCCTCCCATATCTTCCTAAATTGAAGCATCCGCATATGGGCAACTTGTTTCAGTAACTAAACAACCTTTATTTAATAAAACAAAAAAAGAAAGAAAAAGAAAAAGACAGAATTAATAAACCATTGTTACCATGAGAGTTCCATTCTTTCTCGAAATTCAAGAGGTTTAAGATATACTTGGATAGGTTTAGTCTATTACAAAACCTAATAATTACATCTTACATGCATTTTGTCATATGATTCATTCACATTTAGGACTTGACAGCATGGAAAAAAGTATTTTAATTGAAAGAGCAAGATTTGCTTAGAGCAAAGCATTCACTCTCAGACGAATACTTCTATTGAAGTGTCTCAAAGCTCCAGTCATAAGTTGCATTATATAGTTTTGTGAAATTTATCCAAATATCCATGGGAGATGAACCATTCAACAGTTTACTGATATCTTTTGATTTGTTTTCAAAATACCCATCAAATACACATGATCATGACTTGGAATGTTTGCATTTGGGTAAAATGTTAAATAATTGATCTCTCATGGGTACTTTGGTAAATTTCCCTATGATGTGCTTTAATAAAGGGTCGGGCGTTTGGTGAATCATCTGTCACGTCTATTCCACTATGTTCGCCTTCAAAAATTTCACAGGCCTATAACCTCAACAACCACAAACATTTATTTGAAAGTTAATGAATTTTGTTACCTCATCTATTTGGATTTTTTTAGACTGTTTATTTAATTCTTCACAGATCATCTCAGCACAATTTGTTGAGCATCAAATTCATAAATATGTCAGGGTGGAAAATTCTCGAATCTATGGGGGAAATGCATTCCCATTGATCTAGGATGTGATTTAAATCCTAAATTGGTTGAAAACCTGGGTGGGCTCATGCATATGCCGATTCCCGAAACGTCTTTTCCTTTAACAAATGGGATTCGTATAGGATGAGATTGTCACTTTCAATACACATAGGTCACAAACACCCAAAGCCTGAGATTCAAAATCCGCTAGCTGGTTTGTGTGGATTTCTACACAAAGTATGAGAAACGTTTTCTCGGATTTCAAGCGTGATCAATGATGGTGCGACTTGGCCGCACCGCCCAGACCTGCGCAAACCAACTAGACAGGTTGCTCCTAGGTGCATGCCTAGGACCTCACGTAGGTCGGCACTAGGGCCGCCTAGGACCTTGCTAGGTGGGCACCGTGGGGACTATGCTCACCTAGGTTAAAAAATACCCATTGGATGGGGTTTCTTTTGTTTAGGTTATAAAAGTACATGAATATTTGGAACACTCTGTATGTTAATTCTAATATTTCTATACCTTAAGTATCCAAATGAATGTGTGGACTAAGTCTTAGGAACTTGTCAAACATTCAAAGGTGCCTTTGTGGTCTTTTCCCGATTGACCCATGCATTTATGGTTGAGGACTCCAAATGTACTGCTTATTGAGTCTTGTTCAGGGCATCCAAAGTCCAAAAAAGGAAAGGGTCTGGTGTGTTTCCTACTGGCCCTTTCACACAGCACAATGAGTGCTGAGTATTATCTTTGGTGGTGAATAAAGGGGGGCCCACAGTGGTATGACACCGAAATGGTTCACAGACGACAGATGAATGATTTGAAAGGATTAGAGAGACGATTCTCTCTCAAAACAAATGAATAATAATAAATTCTAACTAAATTTGAACTTGCTAGTTTTTGTAGGAGAAATAATTGACAAAAGGAAGATGTATTATGGTGACTTTTAAGGAATTGTTTGGGCCATATGGTTATTTAGAGTGAGATTTTGGTAGGGAACTTAGGCCTTGACTGATTGTTTATTTCTAAATTTGGCCTCCTTTCCATGCATTTGCCCCCCTTTTTTTGCCATTATTGACAATTTTGTGAAATTGGATTCCAAAATTGATAAATAGCAATCTCCCCATTAATAAACGTATAGGTTTTAAATATTGCCTAGGGAATCATTAATTTGAACCTGATTCAATAACTCATTAGGCTGATTCAGGTAGAAATCACGAATGAACTCTATCCTCTCCAGTACAATTGTTGCATTAGATCATTTCTTATATATATATATATATCATTTCAATAGTAGTTGAACAAACAAGCCCACTAATAGCTTAGATAGTGGCCGTGTAGTTGACCCTACCTATTGATTGACTCAAGGTTAAACCTTTAACCTCAAAATTCATACGGAGAACCTAGGATGTAAGCCTCACTTTGGTACTTTTTCATCATTAGTTCTGTAGCTTGAGTTTAGTAACTGGCTGTTCATCGGCAGGCAGTAGGCCTTGACGAAGGCGAACACTAAAAGTTAAATGGTCATGTTATTACAATTTAGGAACACAATTTATTGACAAAAACCTATATATATATGGCTTTGGGATAATGATTAAATGTTAAATGGTCACGTTATTACAATTCAGGAACACAATGAGCTTCGGCGCAAGCATTCTTAAGAATAAGCATGTTCATTCAAAGTGGATTGAAATTATTGAGTAGTTATATATGGTTTTTTTTGGGAAGACATCGCCTTCTCTCCCTTTTGTCCTTTGGTCATTCTTCACTTTATTTTAGCTCATATACTTGATTGTCTCACACTTTTCTCTCTCTTTCTCTCCCGTTTCTCCTTTGACCTTTTTTGTTTCTTAATTCTGGTCGTTGATTGTGTGGGACTACCTATTAGTATGCCACCACCCTCCTCTTGTTATGCTCTTCGGCATTATTTCTGTGTAGGTTGTTTTATGTTTCATGCTTATTTTCTTGTGCACCGACCGAACCTCGGCATATAGGGTCATGATTGAAGGGAATATGGTTGTGAAAAATTTTGGATTGGGGAACTAAAGTTTTGTGTGGGGTGTTTTGAAAGTGCTTTGTATAGTTTTGTAGGGACTTAGGTGGTAAGTGATGTAAGAACCTTCAACGTGAGGGTACACATTATATATATATATATATATATATATATGTTAAAAAAGAGAAGAAAAAGAAAAAAGAATAAAAAAAGTAAACCTTATTCATTCAAAGAATGTATCATGTAGGAAGGGGCAAACGAGATAACTCCCTTCCGTTCGAAGCCCTCTCTCTAAGTTTTAGTTCAAGATATGAGTACAAATTGGTTGGTACAATGACGGCAAATTGTGTTCTCATGCGGAAAAAATTGTTCTTTACCCATCCAATACGATGGGGTCCATTGGTCGGTGGGAGATTATATGAATGCGTTTTGGAGGTCCACGTCACCATGTGCTCCTGAGTGTCACTAGAGTAGAATAAGTGCAATTATGTTCTACAAGGTTTAAAATCTGGGATTTCAGTCAAAATTTTCGGATCATGCATTTCTATTAATTTAGGATTGTCTATGAAAAAAATTATTTATTTTTTTTATAAGGTCTTAATTATTTTCACTCATTAGGTATCAAATTGGATGGCTTGAAGTGAGTCATGAAACTCGAAAATATTTTTTTGGAACTTTGTGTCTAATCAATGACACTTGTACAAACCACCTATTTTGAAATTTAAAAAATAAAAATGATTGTTACCTCCTTGTACAAAAGGTAAATAATTTGTTTGTAGACAATTCCTTCTAATATTTGTAGATTTAAACGATAAAGGAACAAAAATGTGTTCCACAAGGTCCAAACAGTAGGATGTGTTTTCCCATGGGAATGCCTATCTACATATTAGTTGGGCTTATCAAATGGGTATAATTGCAAAACAATATTTATTTGTGAATCCACGTTAAAATACCCAAGAACAATCTCCTTTGATTGCAAAAATCCAACAATATTTAATAGGAAATATATATAGAGAGACTATCTTTTTTTTTTTATAGAAGGAGGTCACAATCATCGTTGATCGGTAGATTTGAGATTGGGTGATTGACAATGTGTTATTGTTTGGGCGCAAATTTAAAAATAAAACTTTTCGAATGTTGTGATCCAGTTTCATTTATTAAATTTCACATCTAATCGTTAAAAATAATTGTGAGCTCGCTGTTCCAAAAATAAATAGTGATCATATTATACAATCCCTATTTAAGAAGTTGTTTTGCCTCGTGATATTAAACCACAAAGATAGTCACGGTTGATAGAAATCAAACCCCCTCTTAGGTCTTATTTTATTGAAGAGAGTTCGTGTGTTGGCTCCTTGCCTCTTGTTTGTTGGGGCATGTGAGGGATAGAGAGAGAGAGAGAGAGGAATAACTTTTTGGGATTTTGCTTCTTGTCTTGTTTGTTTGTTGGGGCATGAGCGTTGGAGCACTCTAGTCTAGAGAGAGAGAGATGCACAAGAGCACTCTAGTCTAGAGAGAGAGGGGGAGAGATGCACAATACTAGCATTATTAGTGCAAAAGTTGGGGGAAGATCTGTCCCCTTCGGTAATGATTTGAGAACCGTTCAAAATCTAGGTACCACACCATGCTTCTAAAGCCAAGGCCTTGACTTTGGTGCTTCCTATTGAGACATTTTTTCCCTTTTTGGGTTCATTGATTCTCTCTCTTTTGCGTGTCTTTTGCATGGGATTTAAGTATGAAATTTGTAGCCTGTGTTTTGAAGTACTTGTGGCTTTTGTAGTGAGGTCCCTAACCGGATGCAAAGAAGAGGACTTGGGGATCTTGGTGAAGGACATATTGCAGCATATCTTCAAACCAAAACCCTAGACATTCCTGATGATAATGTGACCTTTCAATCATGAACTTTCAAACAGCTTTTAAACGTGCCAGTCTTCTTTTTGGAAGATTTCAAACGTCCATAGAGGAATAATGTGCTTTACATGGTTATGCAAGTGGGTATTTGCTTCTCAATATTGACACCACTAGCTTTAATGCATTATGAATAGGGGTATTTGGCAAAATATCATTCGAGGTACGAAAACACCTTATACCATTGAGGGGTTCAAAGACTTTTAATTAACATTTTTTTTAAAAAAAAAAAATTTATTTTACTTGAGTACATCTTCAAATTTTATTTTCAGGAATGCTCAAATTGTACTTGTTCAAGGTTGGAGACCAGTAACTTGACCCAACATAAACAAGCAAAGTACTCCAGATAGAGCCATGCTCCATATTGAAAATGGGTGAAGAACAGGTTTGGAGCCCAAATAGTGTTGGGAACAGGCGTAATGCCCCACCATCCATTCGTCTAAAAATAAATAAATAAAAATAGCCTGAAAATGAAATAGGTGAAGAATAAAAATGAGTGACGCTATTGACGAAAGCCTACATAAAGTGGGTCCCTCTTCTCATATGTGATCCCATGTGTGGTGAAGCACTTGAAAATGGCTTCTATCAAATTCACCATTCTTTATTCTCAACTACTCTAGGGACTAGAGTGGTCCTTTGCTCAAGGTCACATCTTGATACTCATCTCTCTCTCTCTATCTTTATCTCTCTATTTTAAACTGTCTTCCTGCACTCTTAGCCCTTTTTATTTTTTATGGATCACTTTTCAAAATTATCCGTAGGCTTTCTTTGGTAGTGACTATAGTTTACTCCAGGGAACAGCTTCCCATTACCTATTAGGAAACTTAAGAAGCCAAATTTAATGGAAAATACTATATAAGCAAGGTGTACCTGCTAAGTCTGTCTTGCTATCCAGAATTCGGTCATAGGCACAGGTATCGCCTAATTTCAGGTCCCCCCCGGGGAAAACATATTTACTCATTTACGGGAAATCCTATTCTTTAAAAAGAACAGAGCGGAAGGTTCCATGGATTGGCAGCCTCGGGATCGTTGGTTTAAGCTGAATTTTGATGGGAGTGGAGGAGCAAATTTTAGGATATGGTGGTCTTTTGTGAGACTCTAATGGAGTCGTTCTTTGGTCTTATCAAGGACAGTTGCATTAATGTGGCGTAAATGAGGTTGAATTATGGGCCTTAAACTTAGATGTCTCTAAGTTGAGCCTAGCCAGTCCATGAAGTTGAATTATGGGCCGTAAACTTTGATGTCTTTAAGTTGGCGCATAGCCACCGTCACCTCATTGTTGAAGGTGATTCAATTAATGTCATTATATGATGCAAGAATCCCAACCACGTCCATGGACAAGATCTTTTATAGACTACAAGGGAGGGAGGTGATTTTCTTTCGTACTTACCAAGGGCGCAATGAAGATGCTGATACATTAGCCAAAAAGGCCATTGTGCCTTAACTCTATTTCTACACCAACCCTAAGATTCATACTTGGGGCTGCTGTTTTTTCCTTCTTTTTTTTTTTTTCTTTACGTGTTTGATTTTGCTATTGATGTTGAGGAATGATGTCTTGTATTCTGAGGAAATAGATCTACCAAGGTGGAGTCCAAAGGACGACTTCGGATGGCCGTTAAAAGCGTGAAGGGCCGGAGGAGTGTTTGGCCAGGTAGACTCGGTTGACTCAACCCCTGCGGGGGTTCAGGAGGCGGTAGCCCTCGAGGAAAATTTCGGATATCCATACATAGGATTCGATATATCTTGGATTCGATATATGTACATGGGGTATTTCGGTAATTTGTACCATTTATTTGGGGCTCGATATATATTGTTGCGATGGGTTTTTTTAGGGTTAAGGGAAAAACTCAAATCTCTTTGTAATATGAGAGAACATAGAGGTGTGAGGAAGAGAGTTATTGTAACCATATTCTCCATTGTCAGTAAAGAAGCTTTCATCTCCCATTGACATCAGCACGTTGCCGAACTACGTATATCTTTGCGTTGTGGTTGGTTGGCTCTTTCTTTTGTGTTTGTTTCTTCTTTCTTGTTTTTGTAGATTGCTTTTTTTCGTTTTTACAATTGATGTACTTTTTCATTATCTCAATTAATCTTGCCTAATGTTCCAAAAAAAAAAAAAAGGTGTGCCTCCAAAATACACATAAAAGGGTTTTATTGTTACAAGAAAACTATGCAATTAATCATCTAGAGATGTATGAATATGAAAAGAAAGCAATATATTATTTGGATCGTCAATTTCTGAGATTTTTAAGTGTTGATGGATATGCATGATCTGCAATATTTTCCAAACTTCAAATTTCATAATTGAGGGTAAAAATAGATTTGGGCCATCATAGGGATTTTTGGCACTGCATCTTTCAGCTTGATTTGGACGAACACCTTACTTATGATTGTTTAAGGTGGGTGCCTTATACAATTGTAACCTTTATGAAATATACCTAACTGTAACAGTTTAACCATTTATTCTTTTTTCAACTATTCCAACTCATGGCCATGTGCATTTTCATGGATTTTCTAAATTAAATACAAAGATATAGGTAAAATGTTAAATACTTGATCTCTTATGAGTTCAAATGAAGTCATATTCAAATGCACTCTCCTTCTCAAAATTCATATTAAACATGGGTTTAGGATATGAAATATATATAACCACTTTAGATGCAATTATTCTTTAGATTCTCAATTTGTAGCTTCCAAAGGAGCATATATTGTCTATCTACTCCATCTGCAGGAAAACTTACTTGAAAGAATTTTTAATCTGAAATACCTAAAAATTGCTAGATGATTAGTTTAAAAAGAGAGAAATGTTGAATTTGAAGTTTTCTATCACTTAGATCTCACCATAAAAAAATTAGACCGTCCCTATTCAATTTTAAGACATTATCTTTTTTAAGTGCATTGACAGTTAGATGTGGAATTTTCTTTTTTGAAGATAGTCTATTGGTTGAAGAGGTTACATCTCAAAATTTTAGAATCCTGAAATTATACCTAGATTACATTTTATCTAAAGGAGTAAATGTATAGCATGCTCATGTGAAAAAAATTAAACAATCCAAACATAAACTTTAAAATACTCTAATTTTAAATTTAAGAAAAAAATTCATATTCATGATTGTGGTGGTCAAGATTATTAATGTTTTAGATTTAGAGAAGATGCAGAGCTCAAGAACAGTCTAGACAGAGAAACTATCTTGATCGACTCTCATTGACAAGGAATGAACTAAAAGGGTTTATATACAAATACAAAGTTAGTGTAGACCACATTATCCTTACACAAATATACAATGACTTTAAAGAACAATTGAAAATTATGAAAATTATACATTTTATTTTTGTATACATATTATTATCCCTTTCAAGCTAATGTGGACATGAGTAAAGCATTAGCTTGTCCACTAGAAAATTATGGCGGCTTCGAGTAACAAATTTGGTGAAAATATCAGTCGTTTGAGCAGTAGAAGAAACATAAAGGAGAGATAATGTATCATCAAGATAGCGATCACAAATATAATGACAATCTATGTTAATATGCTTGGTCCGCTCATGAAAAACTGGATTAGATACAATCTTAATCACACTTTGGTTATCTGCATATAAAGGTGTGGGATTTGAAATAGAGATACCAAACTCATTGAGAAGGGCACGAACCCAAACAATCTCATTAGCAACAGAGGACATGGCACGATACTCAACTTCAATGCTTAACTTTGAAATAGTATCATGTTTTTTGCTCTTCCATGATATTAATGATGACCCAAGAAATACACAATATCCTGTAGTAGAACGGCAAGTGTCAAGATCACCTGCCCAATCTGCATCTGCATATGCACTGAGATCTAAAGATGATGTGGAGTCAAAGAATAATCCACGAATGGAAGTACCTCGAACATAGTATAAAATTGGATGAAGTGTTGATAGATGTAGTCGTCGAGGATCTGAAATAAATTGGTTCACAACATGGACAACATATGCAATATCTGGGCGAGTCATAGTGAGATAGATGAGGGAGCTGACGAGTTTGCGATACATCGTAGGCTCAAGAAGAGGATCTCCAACATGTGTAAAAAGTTTAACATTGAGTTCCATGGGTATATCAACAACCTTCGCATCATTCAATCGGGCACTGGAAACAAGGTCAAGTGCATACTTCTGTTGATGGATGTAAATACCACGTTTAGAGAGAGAGATCTCAAGGCCAAGAAAATAAGATACTTCCCCAAGATCCTTCATTTGAAATTCTCACATTCTTGATGGAACTGAAATCATTACCAGAGATAAGAATATCATCAACGTATAATAAAATAATGTAAATTTCATGCTTTGTGGTACGAATAAACATAGAGTGATTATGTTTACTTTGAGTGAAGCCAGTTGCAAGAATGACATCCCGAAAATGCTTAAACCATGTACGAGGAGCTTGTTTGAGACCGTAAATTTCTTTACGGAGTCGACAAACCAATGACTTATCTTGAGAAACAAACCTAGATGGATGATGCATGTAAACTTCCTCTTGAAGATTGCCATTAAGGAATGCATTTTTGACATCCATCTGTCATATGGGCCCCTTACGAATAGATGCGAGTGCAATAAAAGTACGAATAGTTGTCATCTTAGCAACTTAAGCAAAAGTTTCATCATAATTGATGTCATACTCTTGGACATAACCCTGAGCAACTAATCGGGCATTATGCCGATCAAGAGTGCCATCAGCTAGTAACTTGACTTTATAAACCCATTTATTACCAATGAATAATGTTTTCCTCAAATTGATTTTTTATCATATTATGGAAGTCTTTAAACACACTAAATACACTTGACTTGTGTTTGAGAAAATAAATCCAAGTATACTTAGAAAATCATCTATAAATATCACATAATAAGAAAATCCATTAATTTAAGGAATCGGAGCAGGGCCCCAAACATAAGAGTGCACTAACGAGAAATGATTGGTACTTTTATTATTGCTATGAGGCAAAGGTTGAACCAAGTGTTTTACCAACTTGTAACTCTCACAAACAATATTCTTATCAAATTTTCTATGAGAGAAGACAGCAGGTAAAAGCCCAGAGTTTAAAAGAGAATGTGCATTTATTGAGAATGTGGGTGTCCTAACCTACAATGTCAAACATACCAAAGAGAATTTCATTGACTTATTTCATGAGGAGAACAGAAAATATGACAAACTGGCAGAGCTTGTGAACGATGGGAAGGAGCTTCGTTGAAACTAACTGTGAAAAGTCGACCCTGCTTAGTGCCTCTCCTAATCACTTTGCCGGTTGCTCGATCATGCACCACACAACTTTTATTAGAAAAAGAAACAAGGCACTTGTTATCAACTACCTGGCCAACAGATATTAAATTCAAATGAAGGTTGGGAATATGTTGAACATCTTTCAATGCCAAAAAGTTAACAGATGGACCAGAGACACTAATATTACCAAAGTGGGTAACATGAAGTGGAACCCCATTAGCAGTAAAATAAGTTATATTTTCAGAATGGGGTTTTACCGAGGATAAAGATGAAAGTTGTTATGTCAAATGATTTGATGCTCCTGAATCTATAATCCAAGTATTTAATAAAGGATTTGAGTTACCTGAAAAACCCATGGCAGCTAAAACCTAAGCAAGTTGTTTCAGTGTAGTTGAGTTAATAGAGTGAAGATTTGGCATGGATACAGGGGCAACAGATGTGGAGGCAGAATAAGAGTTACTGGAAGTGGCATCCTCCATGCTGGTGGGACGAGGAATGGAGGCGATTGCAACCCATTGAGTCTGACTGGTGACAAGAGGCTTCCCACGTGCTTGAGGGTATTTTCGACAATCATTTATTACATGCCTGAGCTTCTTACAATAATTGCAAAAAATGCACTTTTTACACCGATCGCCCATGTGGCCTCTTTGTTTGCATATGTAACATTGCACTTGGATAGAATTGGTATCTTAGTTAGGGAAATTGGATGTGGCGAAGGCCACATCAGTGACATCTTGTGATGTGGATTTGCAAACCCCCAAGAGAGCTTAACTTGTGATGTGGATTTGCAAGCCCCCAAGAGAGCTTAAGCGAGTTTCTTTAGCAAGGAGATCTGAGAGGCCGTTATCTAATCGTAGAGTAGGAGTACGATGAAGGATTGATGCTCTCATGCTTTCAAACTTCGATCGCAACCCGATATTTTGTACTTTAGTAGTAATTTTAGTAGGTGGCTCTATCTCCTTCGAGTCCATCTCATTCCATATACTTGAAATAATATTAAAATAATCTTGAATTGATATGTCCCATTGTTGTGTCTTCATGCTTTCATGTTCAAAGGTATACATATGAGCAGTGTTTGCTTGAGAATAAATCTTCTATAAATAATCCCACATTACTTTGGCATTAGGTTGATACGTGAGATTGTGCCCAATTTTGGACTCAACTGACTTCATAATCTATGTCACAATAGAGGTATCTGTGGCAAGCCAATCACTAAGCACATTCTCTTCTTTAGGAAGGGGAACATAACTATCAATATAGCCCTATAATTTCCTTACCATAAGAAAACATCTCATTTGGAAAGAACACAAGCAGCATTTCTTCACATCAAGACGTACATAAATAGTAGCACTCTCTGTATTATTTTTGCACTCCATAGATGGGTAAATTTTTTTTTTTTTTTTTTTGGGAGAAAGAAAGTTTGCTAATAGGATGGAAGATAACCGCAAATTACTAGGTTCAACGAAAGACTGTTGTTGTGGGAGAGCACAACAGCTTGCAAAGCATTACAAAGAAACGTCAAATAAAAACTTACAAGCACAAAGTGATCAATTGTGTAGAATTGCAAAGAGAGTTTACAAGGCAAATTGTATGAGACAGATAAATTTTGCAGCGGAAAATTTTTGATGGAGAGGAGCCAAACTTGGCGTCGTAAATTTCGACAGACAAATTTTGCTGGAAAAAAGTAAAGGCCGTGGATGATATCAATACGAATTAATATGGTGCAAAGGAAGTGAATGATATCAATACGAATTAAACAGTACTCAGATGGCTGAGCGTGGATATAAACGAAGTGAACAACAAATACTCGAGGAAGAGAGGGAACGCAAAAATAAAATGGATGTGAAATAGATAAATACCAGGACAATGGGTTAATAGCTTTGGTTTCCTAATACTCCCTACAATGACAGTAAGAAAAGAGTTCACAGGTAAAAGATGGATGAAGACAAAAAAAAAAGGAGGGTTTCAAAGGAGAGAGAGAATAGCACAATGAAAATTTTGGAAGGTTTCAAATTTGCCATGAAAGTTTAGATAGAGAGAATAAGAGAGGATCGATATATGATCAGGTAAAGTAAACGGAAGATGGAGATTAAGGTATCCACATAGAAGAGATGATCGGATCTTTGTTGCTCTGATACCGTGTTAGATTTAGAGAAGAAGCAGAGCTCAAGAACAACCTAGAGAGAGAAACCATCTTGATCAATTCTCATTGACAATGAATGAAACCCTAAAAGGGTTTATATACAAATACAAATTTAGTGTAAACCACATTTTCTTTACAAATATACAATGACAATAAAAGACAATTGAAAATTACGAAAATTATACATTTTATTTTTGTATACGAAATTTTAAATCTGAATCCTTTCTCTAATATGGATTATTGAAGGAGATGATTATCGAACTATACAAATTGATGCTCAAAATATGTCCCTAATATTGGATTTGCAGTTTAAATATGTGCAATTGCTGGGAAGTGGCTAGGAAAATGATGAGAATGAACAAAAGTTTAAGGACCTTGGCCAATTGAAGCACCCATCCTCATCCATTATTGATTACGATGGCCTACATGTCCCATCATTGCCTCCATTTATATGCCATCCACAAGCACAAGCCCCTTTTCTCTTCCGTCTAAGTTGTGATGTAATTTAGGTGAATTTCCTTTGCTCCTACATATTTACACATGAAAATTGATTTTTTTTGTTTTTATTTTTATTTTTTGTCCAAAGCATAGCTATAAAAATCCAGATTGAATTGGTGGTCAAACAAACT